TTTGTTCTACAATGACTTAAAGGCACCACCTGTCACCTGGCGATGCCTGATTCAGCAGCCTGGGAGTTCACGGGGGGCCAGCCTGCCTTGGATACAGCCCTGTTGATTTGAGCCAAAAAAATCTCACACAACAGTGATAGGTTAAAGCTACCAGATGCCTTCACGCCCTAAATCATAGAGAAAGTCGGATGGGAGGAATAATTGACAATGTCCCTGATCAAAACAGACACCTCTTCACAGCAGATTTAGTGGAAAATACATGGAAAACAAAAGCTGAATTCTCTATCCAGGCTGCAGTACCCAATACATCACTGCCAAGAAAAAAGCATTTAATAAAACCCTTTAAGTTATGTCTGGAGTAGGTGCTACATGGAGCAATTAGTCAGACGGCAGCCCCCTCCCCCCCACCCCGAGCTCAGGGTGCAGAGCCAACAACCTTCATGTGGACAATAGGCCCAGCACATCAAACCAACAAATACTTACTGAGCACAACTACTATGTGCCAAGCACCGAGCTAGGCTCTGACATGACACCAGAGCCGACCTTTAAAATGCCCAAGGCAAGCTCACATTCACAACCAAATCTGATCCTCATAAAACCAAGTGACATAAGGTGTTGTTTTCCCCACGCTGAAGATGAATGAACTGAGGCTCACCAAGGTTAGATGAATGGTCCAAGGTCATATGACTAGTACTTAGTACAGAGCACAGGCTCATGACCACACATACTTTTCCGTCTGAGAAGGAATCTCAGGGAGTGCTTGTCCTTCGCGCCCCCTGGACATTGTTGAACCCTTCTCGCCTGTGCAAAAAGCCTGGTCCTCAGCCTCTACACTCAGTCTCCGATGTCTCTGCTCCAACTACTACACTTTTTCCTTAGGAAGGGCAAAGTGTCAGTAAGGAGACTTCCAGCTTTAAGCAACAGAAAACCCAACCAAGAGTGACTTAATCAGAAAAGACACTTAATTGATAAAGGGGGAGGGGAATATAGTCAATAGTATTGTGGTAAGTCTGCACGTTGACAAGTGATTACTAGACTTAGTGTGGTGATCACATTGTAAGGCATATGTCAAATCATCATATTTCACCATACTGAAACTAATGTAACATCGCATGCCGACTAGACTTAATTTTTTTTAAAGTATTAGATATGGCTGGATTTCTCATGCCATTTTTTAACTGGTTTGTTTACATTAGGCACAAGGGAAGGACAAAGGTTTAGGGGAAGGGGAGGCCCATCTCCCAGAGCTTCCCCAGGGCAGGTGTTTATAATAAGCGTCTGAAGGGCTTCCCATGTCTTTCTGGAAAGAAATCACATGCCCTCCCCCACAGAGATGCCTCATTACCAGCTCTTCCAATGCACTGTTTCCTGTTCCACTTCCTTAAACCCGACTCGGCCCACCAGTGTTTTTTATTTCAGTTAGATTTCCTTGCTTTATGATATTAATTTGGTGCCCATTCTTTATTTTTTTAATTTTTTTTAAATATATCTTTATTGATTTCAGAGAGAGGAAGGGAGGAGAGGGGGAGAGAGAGATAGAAGCATCAATGATGAGAGAGTCATTGATCTGCTGCCTCCCGCACGCCCCCTGACTGGGAATTGAACCCCAATCTCCTGGATCCTAGGTCGACGCTCAACGGCTGAGCCATGCCTGGCTGGGCAGTACCCATTCTTTAAACTCAAGCCCACCAAAAAGTCCAAAATCCCAAGTCAGGTGTCTCCAAGGAGCTCATGTGTGTTTGCACAAACACGTGGAGATCCTTAGGAACTACAAATTATCCTCCAGGAACAGCTCGATGCCTTTCAGAAATGTTTTCTTTTCATTGAGGCTGGTGTTTACCTCTTATTTTAAGTGCTTTCAAGCCCATTCTCTTGAAGTGCCTTGCCTTACCAGGAGATGGGCTCGTCTGTTCGTGTCGCCTCCTTCATTCAGGAGAACCATCAATCAGTTTCTGAAACAAGCAGCTTCCGTGTAGAATCAAAAGGCGCCACGTGGCAGCTGATGGCGAGAATGCAGCGGGCATTGTTTGCACACAGGCCTTCATCTCTCAGAGGCCTTCATGCATCTGTTTGAAATGAATGAGGCAGACAAGAGCGGTGGCTTCAAAAGCAACTGTCCTCCTCCGGGCTTTTCTTGTTGAAAGTCCTATGCAGCACTGTTCCTAGAAAGTAAAAAGAATAAATAAAAGGCAAAGCTGAGGCGGGCTACAGCTTTCCTATACAAGAGACACACACCTGGCCTCAGCCAGGCTGTGCGCCTGGACACTTGCCTTTATTTTGTAGATCTGGGTTTGCAAGGTTAATGTGAAAGAGGCTGTTTCTTTTCACCCAGTGATAATGCATAAAAATTACATAAACTTCCCTCACCAAGAGCCCAGTCCAGAGTATGACAGGTTTACCTCTTTGTTGGTGCTTCTTAAGGGTGTTACTGCTGGTTGGAGTAGAGCGGCCACCACTGCTGTTATCATGTTTACGGCTTCTGGGCCAGGGGACCGGCTGACACTTGGCCCAGCTCTTCCACCCACCTACCATCTCCCCAGAAGCAAGAGGCTTCCTCATTCCTAGATCCATTTTGTGCTGGGCAGGAAAGTTGGAGAGCACATAGTTTTCTGTAGTAATTCGTGTCCCCTCGGTAGATTCTTAATGCCTCTGATGTTGATGAGGACCTAAAGTCTTGGGCCCAGTTTTGAACATTGTTTTAACTTGGGAGAGTTAAAGCAATGTTCGGAACTCATCGAGATAATCACCCTAATAATCGGCTTGAGGATCATCACCTTCTCTTTTGTCTGCAGAGGGTTTGCAGTGACGCCTTGAGAGTTCAGGGACGAGCATCCAGCTCAGGACTGGGAGTGAAAAGGAGAGTGCAACATGTATTTAATGTGTCGCCTCACTGATGAGTTCACCTTCTTTTTCCCATCCTAACTTCTCTACCTAAATGTTCTTTTTAATCTGTCTTGCATCATTTGTGTCTTTAAAGAGTTGCCTTAAGTCCTTTTGAAGCAAGGATAAAAGAAAGAAAGTATAAATAGATTCCTCAGAAATCCATTGCATTCTGGCTATTAGGATGGAAGGAAAAAAGTACAAACACTTTTCTGTCCAGGAAGGGAAACTGCATAATGCAAATCACCTAGGACATTTTTGTGTGAAAATCAAACGGAATAATGTGAATGTATATTTTCTGTTGAAGAAATATATATATATATATACACACACACACATAAATATACATACACACACACACACACACACATATATATATGGTGCTTACTTTGGCTGCACAGGATGACACACAAATTCATGAAGCATTCCATAGTTTTAGATATTGGTCAAATGGTACAAACTCCCATCCATAAGATTTATGGGTCTAATATACAGCATGGTAACTACAATTAGCAATATGGTATTATGTACTTGATTTTTAAGAGAGTAGATCTTAAATATTATCACCATACACACACAAAAAACACTTATGTGAAGGAATGAAGATGTTAGCAACCTTACTGTGGTAATCATTTTGCAAGATATACACGTATATACATCATATTGTACAATGTAAACTTGCATATATGTCAGTAATATCTCAATAAACTGGGAGAAAATTGCCTCAACTACAGAGAAAAAAATATATATGATTGGATTCAAGAAAACGGGAATTTCTGGCACAAGGGAGGAATAAGAATATGGCACTGCTATCCTCGGGAAGCCCCCTGAATAATTAGGGGACAGCTATGTGAAGTCCATCATGCAAGACATCTGAGCAGTCCCTTCAGAAGCCTGGGATGGGCCACATGGACTTGCCATAACACTGAGGAGGTGCTTGGAATCTCAGTTTCTTGCACACAGTAGAAGCTGAATAAATGGAAAGGATGAGTTTAAGAATTTTTAACTGTGTGCTAAATAAGTTCCTGGATAATCTTCAAATTAATCCAGGTAGAAATGATTTAGCAGCACCCAGAGAAGTGGATGCCATAAAGGGCTTCAGTGCTTTTAATCCCCTCAACAATACTTCAAGGTAGAGGTTTTTATCTCCACTTTTTTTCAGGTTCAGTTAAGTAATTTGTGCAAGACTGCAAACGTAGTAAGTGAAAGGCCCAGGATTTAAGCCTGGAGGTGATTCTAAAAACAGACTATTCCCTTATTCTGCTCCAATATTTCCCAAGCTTTTATAGTGTTAAGGATTCAAGCCTGAGGTCCCATCCCAGACCCACTGCATGTGATTCTCCAGGGAGGGACTTAGAAGTGTATGTTTAACAAGAGATAAAATGATGATGATTATCAAAGAAGTTTAAGGAAACCACTCTATTGCATCAGGCAGGGGCCCCAATCTCCCTCTGAGTGACCAAATAGAAGGCGTCAGAGATCTGAAACTAGCAACTGAAAATAAGTCATGTCATTCTGGAGTTCATCAGATTGTAATATTATAGGTGATTTACTCTTCAGATTGGTAATATAGCAGCGTCTGATTTAAGGTTATCTGGATTCTAAAATTCTAAGACCATTTTTGAAAGCTAAATATGGGCTCTAGTTTAAACCTCAGGCTTTTTTGGCTTCCGTCTCTGCCGGTCTTTGGGCCTCGGGAGCAGCAGTGAGTGAGAATTCTGTTTCTCTCCCCAGCAGCTCTAACTGAGCAGAGGTTCCAGCTGTGCCGGGGCTGGAGGGCTGCTTGAGGGAGAACCGCAGGCTGAGAGTCAGTCCTCAAGTCTGGCCGCCCACCAGATGGCTTTCATTGGATGAGCAAGCTACCCGAGCCAGGAAGTAGAAAAATTCATCATTGCTCCATTTGTTTTTCTTAGTTTCAGGTTTTTCCAAGCCTGCTGAGAAGAGCCGACTAAGCCTGCAGCTTCAATACCCATCATGAGCGCAAGCAACTTATTTGCAGAATCTAAACACTTCATTCATTAAATGGAAAGCAAGGCAGTGATTCCTGGCATGACTGAATTTAAGTCAAGCTGTCAAAGTCCACAGTGCAGCCCGGAGTAGAGACGGACAAGTTGAACCAAAACCTGAGCGGTGTTGGACCACTGCTTCTCGGCAACTTTATTGTAAGTTATTCCCATTACATCAGAGGGAAATCTGAGACGTGGTTAGAGAAAAGTATGGAGCTGATTACTCCCATCCCAAGCATATCTTTGTTTTAAGGAACTTGCTTTATGTACTATTGCCAAGAGACTTGCTTTGAATGATATTTCCAGGCATGATGTCTATAATAGTAAATAATGACAACTACAAGTTTACAAATAATAGTTTAATATGCTTCTGTTCTTCAGTGTTCTTGATCTCATTAATCTTCACAGCAACTCTGCGAGGGCGGTCCTCTTATTAACAGAATTTTACAGGTGAGGGAACGAGTAGCTTCCTCACAGTGAAACGACGTAACTTGCAGAAAGTCTGCAGTCGGTGACTGAGAGGTCATCTCACATCACTACGCTATCTGCATCCCGTGGGATCCATATTTTTAGGCCATTCATTTTTCAAAAGACAAATTCTCTTATCGATTAAAACATTAAACCTGCCCTGGCCAGGTGGCTCAGTTGGTTGGAGTGGCCTCTCATACACCAAAAGGCTGCAGTTTGATTCCAGGTCAGGGCACATACCCAGGTTGCCAGTTCCATCCCCGTCGGTCGGGGGGCGTATGGGAGGCAACCGACCAGTGTAAATTCTAAAATTCTCTCTCTCTCTCTGTCTATATATATACACACACACACACACATATATATATGAAATAAGCAGTGTATATACAATATGTTAAAAATAAATATAAATTTAAATTAATTACAGAGTTAAATATAGATTATATGAAGTTATTTATATAAATACATAGTATATTATATATATATAAAACATATTAGAATAACTGACAATTTGAATATGGACTGTGNATATATGAAGTTATTTATATAAATACATAGTATATTATGTATATATATAAAACATATTAGAATAACTGACAATTTGAATATGGACTGTGTAATTAGATAATCATATTATATCAATATAAAATCTCCCAATTTTCATAACTGTTAAACTTCCTGATTTTTATAGTGAAAGTTGTCTGTCTCAGGAAATATACACTAAAGTATTTAGGTAGGTAAGTAGGTATGTACATCTGCAACTTATTCTCAATGGTTCAGAAAAAAATTATATATAAAGAGAGAATGAATGATAAAGTATAAACTGTAAATACACAAAATATAAACAAATGGTAAATCTGGGTAAAGGATGTGCAAGAGTTCTTCATATTAATATTTTAACATATTTGTAAGTTTAAAATTATATAAAAATAAACATTAACAACAACAAACAAATAAATGGGTGACAACTTCTGACAACAGCAAAAATTCTCCTAAGCAACTGGGTTAATTAGGAAATTAAGAACATGACAATGGCTTTGGAATATTATAAAATTTAAAGCACCACCTATCAAAAGTGAGGGATGTGTGAACAAATCAAGGCCCAAAGGTAAAGATGTAGATGCGCTTTAGAAATATGAAATACGTGAACTAAGCACTTGATTTTTAAATCTTATTTTAAAAAAGAGAATTAGCATAAGGGAAGATAATAAAGATGAAGGGCAGAAATAAATAAACTAGAAAAGAGGAAATCAGTGGGCATAAACAAATTTAAATGCTCAGTCTCTGAGAAGATTGTAAGATAGACTAAACCCTTTGGAAATATAATAAATAAAAGAAAAGGTATAAATCAACAAAATTAAAAACAAGACTGGCGATTTAACAATTGATATAAAGGATTTTAAAGTATAAATGATTGCAATGTACAATTTATGATCATTTAAAATATTTAGCCAAATGGACAACACCAAATATAAAGTATAAAGCTGACAAAACAAGATGTAGAAAACATGAACAGAATGATGGAAAAGGAAATTGTGAATGTTATTAAAGAAATACCTCATCTACCAAAACAAATACCATGTAAACAAATTTACTGAACAATATTTCTACATATTCAAGAAACAAATTTTTTCATATTATATAATCATTTCCAAGTAATGGAAAAACAAGACCTGATGCCCAATTCATCCTGGGAGATAAGTATCAGACTCATCCACAAACCTGTGAAAAATACCACACGCATGTCTCAGGACAACAAATGTGCACAAGTGCCAATTCCAATAAAACTGGTCTGAGCCCTGGCCGGGTGGCTCTGTTGGTTGGAGCATCATCGCTTACACCAAAAAGTTACAGGTTCAATTCCAAGTCAGGACATAAGCCTAGGTTGTTGACTCAATGCCCGGTTGGGACATGTATGAGAGGCAACTGATTGATGTGATTGATGTTTCTCTCTCACATCGATGTCTCTCCCCCTCCCCCTTTCTTTCTCTCTCTAAAAAAAAATCAGTAAAAACATACCCTCAAGTAAGGATTAAATTTTTAAAAACTGGCTTGAAAACTACAACCTGACTCAGTAGATTTTCCAAAAATAGTTGTTGGATAAGTGAATAAATGGATGTATGGGTATATGAACAAAGAAATTAATGCAGTCAACTGGCAATGTCTACTAAGGGCATGAGAGCAAGACTGTCTTGTGCATCCCATCTATTTGCTAACTTATTAATTATTTCATCTATGTCAGGCCCGATAAACAGGCAGAAAAATCATTTTAATGAGCTTAACAGAATGCGGCTGTAACAAGAGTGTGTGATGACCAATAAAGATAAATTCTAGGAAAGCTGAAAGATTATGACCAATCACAGAATGCCTTTTATAAAAGAATTGCTAATTTGAGAGGGCATGGTGAGACTTAAAAGAAAAATTGACACACAGGATTTAAGGGTGACAGACTATCCCAAAATACGCCACTTTGGCGCAAGGATTACTCTGAGCTAAAAAGCACTTGAAAAAAGGAGATTCAAGAAAGGTATTCTAATCTTCCCTTTTCTTCCAAAATCAAGAGATAAAAATTAATTCCCCTATGAAAGATGCCCTCCCAGTGTTGCAGGAGAATTGAGTGGGTGGAATTTCTCCATCACTAGTGGTAGTGGGGTTCCTGTGATAGCTTGAGAAAAATAATTTTCTAAGACTTGCACGGGAGAACGAACGATTTTTATTTGCATGGAATTTTATTTCTGGGTTTCCAAAGTCCCATGCCCCTTAAAGTCTTGGAAAAGGTGCAGGTGAGACTCCAGCAGAGCCAAAAGCAAAGCCAGTGTCCAGAGTTTCCATGCTATGGTGCCACTGAGTCCAATGTAGCCTCAGGCTAACCACTGCCCGTTGGTCTGTTGTGTGGGTCCCACATGGCCATGAGCCACATGGACGAAAGCAGGGGAGCGTACCCCCTGCAACAGGAGTCCCAACACAGCGAGAGGGCCAAGGGCGCAAGAGAGGAAACTTTCTTTGTTTTGGAGCTGAGAATCTCAGATTTCTCGCCCTTGCAGTGACCAGGCCCCTTCTGGCCACTGACTCGCTACCTGGTGTGACTGAAAGATAAGCACCTTCCCACATCAGCCAGACCTCACTGTGCCACTGTCCTGTCCCTTCCCCGGCAATCTGTGGGGAACAGACCTGGAGAATGTTAACTGCAGCTTCCTCGCAAAGCCGCATAAATGCATGCGTATATTATCCAGTCTCCCCCTTGCTCCTCTCTTGTTATTAATAACCAGGTTATTATAATGGTATCACCAGTACCAGAGGAAAAGAAACATTCTCCAATGAAGGATAAAAGCAGAGAGAATTCTGTACAAACAGAATTTCGTTACTCTTCCACAATTTCCTCTCTTTGTTCAACCCAGTATAAAAGCATATAAGTTTTGCCATTTCTTTGGGTCTTCATTTCCTTAAGAGGGCTCCTGTGTCATGTAAAACATCAATCTTTTCTCCTGTTAATCTGTCTTATGTCAGTTTAATACTCAGGCCCAGCCAAAAAAGCCCTACGAGGGTAAAGGTAAAATTCTGCTTTCTCTACAGGATTGTTCTTGACAGAAAAGACTGATGAATTTGACTACATGAAAATTTAAAACTCTGTTCAATAAAAACACCACAGGCAATGTGAAAAGACAAAATGCAAAGAGACTGGGAGAGAATATTTGCAACACATATAACCAAAGAGAATTAAAATCAGTAAGAAAAACACTAATGAAATAATAGAAAGATGGGCCAAAGATAAGAAACGAACAATTCGTAGCAGAGGAAATTTGAATGATCAATGGCACCGTTAAAAAGATGTTCAGCCTCACTGATAATTAGATGAAAATTAAGACAATGTGATACCATTTTGCATTCATTAAACAGGTGAAAATGAAATAATCTGACACTATCAGTATTGGTGTCAAGGTGGAAGGATTAGAAAAACATTCACATTTTGATGGTGATGTGTTCACTGGTGTAACCATTTTAGAGAATAGATTGTCCACATCTAGTAACACTGAAAAGACACTTGCTGCAACCCAGCAATTTCACTTCTAAGAGTAAAGTCTAGAAGTGCTCGCTTGTAGACAATGCAAGTCCATTGCAACATTGTTTGTAATAGCAAAAAACAAACAAAAAAATAAAACCACACAAATAATCACCAATAAGATGAACAAATTGTGATATATTCACACAAAAGGATCATTTATAGTAGTTTTATCAATAGAGATAAATCTTAAAAATATAAAGCTGAGTGAAAAAAACAAGCTGCAGACAAATAAGTGGAATATAAAAATTTGTAAATAGCCCAGCCAGCATGGCTCAGTGGTTGAGCATGGACCTATGATCCAGGAGATGGCGGTTCAATTCCCGGTCAGGGCACATGCCTGGGTTCTGGGCTCAATCCCCAGTAGGGAGCGTGCAGGAGGCAGCCGATCAATGACTCTCATTGATGTGTCTATCTCTCTCCCTCTCCCTTCCTCTCTCTGAAATCAATAAAGACATATTTTTTTTTAAATCTGTAAATATACAAAATAATGCTATATGTTTTACAGCTACATACATATGATGCAAACATATACATCGATGAAATGATAAGCACCAAACTCAGGATAGGGATGCCTCTGAAGAGGGAAAAAATTAGATTATGTTGGGAAAAGTTACACAGGTATACAGGT